AACACAAAAAGTGCATGTTGGAAAAAGGAGCACACCCCTTTTTTTTTTTGCTACAGACAGCCACCAGCCTCGGCAAACAAGGAGTACACTCGGCACGGTGGCTGCAACGGGGCGAGCTCTCTTCTTCCAGGCACCAGTGCAGGCTCCGAGAGCCCAAACAACCCGACTGAACTGGTCCCCACAGCCTGCGGGGGCCTCCCGTTTCAGAGCGCTACTGAACACCACTGTCAAATGTCGGACAGTATGTCATGTTCAAACAAGAAGAAAGCAGCGGGACTTGGCCGGCGACACACAAGTCTACAGCGGTGAAAATTTCCCCTAATAAAACATCACATGGGTTGTGGGTTTTTGTATTATTTTTAAGGAAAAGTGATGAACAGTCCAGCACTGGGAGCAGAGAGCGCTGTGGTGGGGAGATGCCAGGCTCCAAGGGAAGGCAAGATAAGATGTCCTCACTGGAGCGATTCCACCGCACAGTGCCCAACAGCTCTAATTAACCTGTCAACAGCGATGGCCTTCCCCACCTTTGTACTCCTGGAACCCGATCAATGGTCTCTGAAGACATATAGGAAGGGCCACAAATCCTGTTGACATACTTTGGCTTGGCTTCATTGCCTTCAGCAGAGCTGTGCCAGCGAACGCGGGCTGACTCGTGACCGCTACACACAAAATAGAAAATCCTCTCACAAACATAATGCCCTGGCTGTGTCTCCCTGCCTCAGCACTTCACGAATATTTACTGACTCATTTTCACTGCCGGTCCTTCCTACACCCTCTCCTGCTCCAGAGGAACATGCTCGTACGAAGGTCCAGGCCACCAGCAGGAAAAGTCATCACACCTCTGCAAGCTAAAACTTGGGAGCTCCTTGGGAGGGAAGGTTTAGTTACACAGAAACCAGAAGGGTTCCCCAGGAGAGCCTGCGGATCGGGGCGGACAGTCCCGGCTCAGGGCACTGGCCGTCCCGCGGGAGCTGGGCAGAGCTGCCCCGTTGGCCCCGGTCCAGCCTGCGGGATGCTCATCCAGCTGCTCATCCAGCTGCTGCCAGACCAGCACCGCCTGTGGGGGGCAGGGTTGGAAATGGGGAGCAAGTGTCCCATGGCCACACTTCAGCCACCAAACCGGTTGGCCACTCTTCTGCTGCTCTCAGGGGATTCAGAAGATGATTCAGAACAATGTAACTTGAGGTTCCTGCCCCGCAAAGGGCCCACAGGGACCATCTCCCCAATGCGCAAATTGCACTTAAGGTGTATGAATACCCCTTTCTTCACTCCCAGAAACTTAAGGTTACAGCACAGCCCCCATTTTAAAGTTAGTGGTATTCACCCAGATCTGAGCGACTGAATGGAAGCAAAGCCCCACACGTCCAACACACACATCTCCCAGTGAGTGCGTAACGCAGAAGGTGGAACATTTATATTCTCAGCATCACAAAAGCACTAAAAAGACTTAAATATTGAAATAAATAAAGCTGTTAGAACATGAGCTCCAGAAAGGCACTTGGAAATCCAACAGACTCTTCCTTGTGAGCTTATGCCATGTACGAGCGGGGCAACCTGCGACTCTGGAAACCGAACCCTCCTTGCCACAAACACCAGGTCCACTCTGTCACGCCAGTGATGCTCTTACATTCTCCCTCCTGCCATGCCAAAATTTCTAGTGAAGTGGTTTTAAGCCAGCCATGACCCTCCCTGGGGCAGCGCACACATCTCATCCGAGCTGCTCGCCCCACCTCAAAACCCCACCAACACCTGGGCAGCAATTTCTGCTGGATTTTTGGAGTTGGGGTCATTCTGCTTTCGCAGAGAGCGCCAGGGCCGGCTGTCCCTAGGAGCTGTTAAAAAAGAGACAAAACCACACAAGCTGTGCATCACAGGAATATTATTTAAGGCGCTTTGAGTGCTCGGGGTTATCCAAACACGGAGAGCTGGCGGACACTGCCAGCGCAGAGGCGGGAGTGGATCTGCAGTGAAGCGGCGCGGTGCCGTGGCGCAGGGCGCACCAATGGCCTCGATGTGCACGGTCGCGTCCTTCCTGCTTAAATGCCATTTAACTGATCGTGTCACCCTCCTTCTCCCTTTAGAAATACCAAGGTTAATGGTCGGAAGCAAGGGACAAGCGAGGGCTTTGTAACCTGTTCTTCAGCTTATTCTCCAGCTGCAAAACATCTCCTAGCTCTCCTGCTCTGGGGAATAATACACAGAAAACAAGTAAACAAGACCCATTTAAAAGAGAGCAACAGGAACTACGGATGTATGCATGACAAGAAAATAAACACCAACGGCTTGCCCGTCACACCAGCAGCAAGTGGGAAATTGATAGGGAGAGTCAGAGTGTTTTGCCTCGGAAAGAGCTGGACCCCCCTCTCTCCTTCAGCGCGGAGCGGCTCCGCAGCGAGCGATGCGGTGAGGACCACTGCCCACCCTCGGGGCCCGGTCCCGGTGAGGAGTTAAGAGCGTGCCCTGAGCAGATCGGTTTCCTTTTCTCTGCTTCCTTCCTGGATGGAATTACTCACTTCCTCGGCAGGAAAAATCATTACAGAACCCACTTTTCTGAGTTCATCTGAGGTTATTATCTGCTGGCTGACAGCGGGTTATTAGGCACCCACGGAGCTTCCTCTGGCGCAGCAGGGCTGCTCTCCTGAGCTGCAGGCTTTTCAATAGGGAGAATAAAGATTGGTTGCTAGATGCACCCTTTTTTTTTTTTTTTTTAAACCTTTGCTTCAAGCATCAAAGCGCATGGAAGGTATACGCAGCCTCTTTACAGAACAAAAGGTGACTAGCTGTGGGAGACGTTTTCCTATATTGTAGGTCAATTACAACCCAGATCGCCTTTACAACGGCGTTGGACACGGCTCGCTTTCATTCCCTTGATGGCAAGGCAGGTCAGATCCCAAATGCTTTGTTGGTTCGCCTGCCTTATTACTTAAAATGAAAGCTGCTTTTCTATGGCCAGGGCAGGAGTGCACCTCCAAAGTCTAATTCAGAAAAGATCAGAGCTCCATTATGCAACTAGGCAGAGAATTAATAATATATCTCAGGGAGCGTGTGCGATTCTGCCTCGATGGTGACATTTATTTCTACACGTACGTTCAGATAAACCTTTGTTTGATCAGAGAGAAGATTTTTCTTTGCTCTCAACATCTCAAAAGCAAAGTTTAAAGTTAAATATTTCCCCAGCTGGATGTGGCCACAGTGTTTGGGGGAAGGAGCCGGGAGCTACGCAGCATCTGCCTCTCTGTCAAGCAGTGCAGCCTGGAGGGGGAGGCGGAATATGGGGCCCACGAGGATAATGCTGCCTCTGCCTTCTGCAATAATAGCATAAAATCATCTTATATACTAATATTTGCACATCCCCTGCCCGACTCACGTGCAAATCCAAATACGTATTGCAGCCTCCCCGCACAGCTGGGAAGTAGATCCTTCGATGCCTGTTTTGCAGAGAATTACACTAGAAAAAACACAAAAGAGGAGGAAAGCCAGCCATGGAATCCAAAAGTCTCAAGTTCTGGGTCTCCGCTTCAAACCTTATCAGTGCCATCACTTCAGCCATGCTGGCAGTTTGCCTTCTCCCCTGAGGCTGATGTTGAGACATCCCTCACTGGATCCCACCAGTCCTGAGCCCAAACAGAATCACAGAATCACAGAACCATGGGCTGATGGGGGCTGGAAGGGCCCTCTGGAGCTCCCCCATCCCACCCCCCGCCAGAGCAGGGGCACCTCCAGCAGTGGCACAGGACGGCGTCCAGGCGGGTTTGGGATGGCTCCAGAGGGGGAGACTCCCCCACCTCTCTGGGCAGCCTCTGCCACTGCTCTGCCGCCCTCACAGCAGAGAAGGCCCTCCTCAGGTGGAGATGGAACTGCCGACGGTCACCTTTGTGCCCGTTCCCTCTTGTCCTGTCACTGGCCACCGCTGGAAACAGACTGTTCCCATCCCCCTGGCACCTCCCTTGAAGGATTTGTAAGCATTAATAAGATCCCCTCTCAGTCTTCTCTTCTCCAGACTGAACAGCCCCACGTCACTCAGACTTTCCCAACAAGAAAGACGCTCCAGTCCCCTCATCATCTCTGTAGCCCTTTGCTGGACCCTCTCCAGCAGTTCCCTGTCCTTCCTGACCCGGGGAGCCCCGAACTGGACCCAGTGCTCCAGATGGGGCCTCCCCAGGGCAGAGCAGAGGGGGAGGATAACGCTCACCCTTTGGCTGAAGGGGGGAGGAGACGAAGGGGAGCACCGCAGAGATCTCTGCCAGAGCTGTCTCAGTCTCAGCGAGTCTTAAAAATAACAGATCTCATACTTGACACACACACACCCCCCTTTCTGAAGAAGTTGAGGAGTCACATCCCCTTACAAGTGTGTTGATGCCGGAATCCCGCTCTCAGCCGCAGCTCGGGGCGAGGAGCAGCCAGGGACCACGCACCACCGAGCGCCCACACGTCGCCTTCGGCAGCCCGGCTCCTCCGCCCGCGCGCAATTAGCCGAAGGCCCCTCTTCCAAGGAAGCAGCTCTCACGAATGCTGAGTAAGAGCAACTAGATGGCAAATTAGCCATCACCGTGCCCAGTCAATCACACACAGCAATTACTGGTTTTTATAATGAAGAGTCCACTTAGGGCTTGGATTCAGCTTTCCAGAACTTCTGCCAGCGGCATCATTTGAAACACCAGTTTGGGCTTGATTTTAAACGTTTAGTAGCATTTGGCAACTGGGTAAATGAACGTGACTCTGAAAACCCTTTCATGCTGCGACGAGGAAATTCTCCAAAAACAGAAAACAACACACAGCGCTTCCCGGGAAGCCAGAGAGAAATCCTTCTGACACACAGCTAACAGAAATAACGATTAAAAACAAGAAACAAACAACAACAACAAAAAACCCCAGTTCTTTTTAAAGACATTTTTATAGCATTTATGGCAGGCACAGGACTTGAAATGAGCACTCTCAGCCAAAAAACCAATACTGACAGTAGCAAGTGAGGAATCTCACCCGAACAGCGCGATACTTACGGTAGAGACAGCCGGCATCCCCCCCGCGCTGGGACCAGCCCGGGCAACACCTGTACGTGGTCTGGTGTTTCACCTTGTACACCTGCCTGTAGCCCGTGTAATACGCGGTCCTGAAACACAAAAGAAGGTACACCCCAGACACGGTTAATTCCTGCACAATGGGGAAACTGGGAAGAACAGAAGCTGTAACTCAAACTGTGGATGTACATAAAATGAGGAATTTGGTTTTCAAACACGCTGACATTTTTTTCCACCTGGTCTAGCAATGATCGCTGATGCTAAGAAAATACTTCCTAATTTACTTTAATTGGTAACACGAGAGACTGGAGTGTCCACGTCCTCCCAACACCCCCGGCTTTCTTCTCCTTTCCTAAACTATTTCACAGCTTGTTAACAAAGGAAATTGAAATTTTAAGAACCACGGGTATTTCAGCCCAGCTTTAGTGAGCGTGAGCAGGTGTCTCCAAGGGGCGGGTGAGCTAAAAAATCATCAGAATCCTGATGGGAATATTGAGCTACTGAAAGAGCTCTCCATGCAGACGTGTTTTACATCGCAAGGCTCCTGCGGGCTGAGGCTGGCAGAGCCCATTCCCCATGGAAAGGGCTTTTCCCTCCTCCGTTCTCCTTCCTCTGCACCCCACCAGCACCAGCTCCGCCATGACACATGCGGGACCACATCCCTCCCGTCTGCCTGACGCCAGCTCCAGCCCCGCGCAGGACGGGGACGCCGCGGCGCAGCGGCACCGCTCGGCAGAGGCGGCGCAGGGCTGGCGGGGGATGCTGCGCCCCAGGTGCTGACGGTCCCTCGAACACCCCCTGCTCCTTCCTCCCAGGCGAGGAGCCGGGCTAGGACAGCAGGGATTGATCTGGAGCATAAATAAATAAAAGTGACACTTTTTTTCCCCCGGAAATTTGACTCTGTGTGTACGTGAAAATTGAAACACAGATAAAACTTTTGAAGCCGATTTTTTTAAAAAAAGCTCCTTTGGCAGGACATGAAACTACTCCACCAAAGCAAATCAGACAAACAACAACAAATATTTGGCACAGCAGATGCGTTGTACATGTCCACTGAAAATATTTATCCTAACTCAGTCTAGTTGTTTGATTTTGTCTGAATGTTTCTACAAAAAAAAAACCCTAACTAACATTGCGCCATTAATTCCCCTGAAGGAAACCTTCGGCTGCGCTGCTGTGCCAACCAGCATATGGAAGCGCAGCTGAGAAAAATAAAAGCAGATACCGATTTTTTTTCTTTTCTACGAGCTGCTAACAAATTATGAAGGAAATAGTCATGTTCCAGAAGCAGCTGAGAAAGCAATTTGCAGTCTCTCAGGCACCAGAAGAGCCAGCGATGAGGCTCACATCCATCCGGATCCTCTCGGTACCGAGGGCCACCTCCCGGCCCAGCCCGGGGCTTTGCCGTGGCGGCAGGGCACAAAAGGACACGGCGGTCCTGCGGTCCCCGCACCGGCCCTGCTGGAAAACACCGTCCTTTTCATCAAAATGGGGAAAGACTGCACGGCAGCACGCAGCCTGCTCCATCCGCCCGCCTCAGCTCCCAGACGGGGAGGAAAAGGTATCCCAAGAAACAGCGATGTGGGACAGCGCAGGACTGATCCCGGCTTCCCTCCCGCCCCAGCAGCACCCCGAGCAACCCCATCTCCACCGGTCTCACTGGGCTCTATCGGGCACTTCAGATCCTTAAGTCAGCCCAAGTGGGTTCTCAAGGAGATGCAAATATTTTGACAGCCCCAGTTGCCTGTGGATATCTGGATGCTGCAGACTGGAAAGAACCACATAGGAGATACTTTATCTTCAATGTTTCTGTTTTCTTTTGTGTTTTAAGGAGTCCCTGGCACAGAAAATGTTGAACGAGCCAGAACTAATGGAACCCAGGCTTAAAAATCCTGCTGTGTCCTGCTGCTGGAAAATCCACTTCCAGCCCCTCCGGGACAGCGCCGTCATCCCTCCAAGTTGCGTTCCCGAGGCTGAGGAAAACCGCCTTCTGTTTTCACCTAATTCAGGAAAGCGACACAACCAGTAGCGAAAACTTCGCTTTCCCAGGAACGAGGAGAAGCGCAGCGGATGCTCCGTTCACCCTCCGAGGAGCGCCACCGGCTCTTGGAGCAGGCAGGGCCCGGTCCCGCGGGTGCAGGGCGACGTTTGTTGGGATTTTTAGGAAACATTATAATCCAGTACTCTCAGCACAGATACAAGTCTTATAAAAACAAATGCTACCGGTTTTGGAATGGCACTTACAGCTCAGGCACAGCGATGGGACTGTCGCAGTATCTGCAGCAGCCCAAGCGTGCCCGGGAATTTCGGGAAATTAGCTAACGATGCTGAAACCCGCAGAGAGCTGCTCCCGGCCAGGCAGGTGGGCCAGGCAGCAGCGCCGAGCGCTGCACTGGGGAAAGCAGAGCAGATGCTGGATTTTCCCAGTCGTGTCCGTGAAGTCAAAGGCGCCGAGGCCAGTCTCAGGCCAGCCCCGTGCGCGTCAGTTCCCGAAGCTGTTCATGTGCGTCCTGAGCCCCGCGCTGCCGGAGCCGGGTCCAACTGGAGCCCCTCCAGCGGGTGAGCCGGGGGCTGCGCAGCATCCCAAAAAGACACCGCGCGCTCCGCTGCCCTCAATTGCACAGCACAAGGGAGCTTGGCAGGAGATCTCCCATCTATTGGAATAAGCTTGCTGTGATGGCAACTCCCAAAAGATTAGAGTGAGGGGATACGGGACAAAATCTTGCCTGAGAAAAGCTTTGCTGATAGTCCTTTGGCTGCACTTGCTTTTAAAATTCCCTGGGTGAGTTCCCTCACAGCACCTCTAGGCTTCACCTCCGTATTTTCATCGGGAGCAGAGTTTTAGCACTAGGCTGTCCTGATATTTATAGTGAAGCACGACAGAAAGTTTTTTCATTTCAGTTCCTTGATTTAGAATGTCAAAAACATACATTAAAGTCCTAAAGGGACAGCTGGGTCTGAAGAGCTCCCGGCCTTTGAAGTGGAAGCAGACGGGGCACGTATCATTTCAAAGTCCTCTCTTTAAAACACGGTCAAAAGACAGACTCTGTTTGCTCCTTTATTACCACCACACAGATATCATCACCAAGATAATTACTGGCAATTACAGGTTAGGAGGAATTCCTAAAGTCAAGACTTAAAAGCTGTCTCTAGTCCAAGATGCTTCTTTGAAACTACCACTATCATTATTATTTTGTAAAGGCTTGTAACTGCCTAATGAGGCCAGAAAAGCAGGTGGAGAACAGGAGAAGATTGGGCACATTGTAGTTTGGCTGCTGTGCAGGTAAGAAAAGCGCATTATTTGCCCTGTTGCACATGTTCATAGCCCTCTCCCTACAACTCCTCCGTGCTTGGTCGCCCAGCTACCCGGAAAGGCGAGTCAGCAACTCAAGGGATACAATGAGCTGAACAACCACATCAATTTTCCGCTCAGAGTACACCCAAACTCCTTTCTTGCACGCGCAAGCCTGACTCCCCGGAGCTGCACAGTCTTCTGACAAGAGGCAATGGCCTCAAGTTGTTCCCGGGGAGGTTTAGGATGGATATTAGGAAAAATTTCTTCCCCAAAAGGGTTGTCAGATGTTGGAATATGCTGCCCGGGGAGGTGGTGGAGTCGCCATCCCTGAAGGGATTTAAAAGACGTGTAGATGTGGTGCTGAGGAACATGGATTAGTGGCGGATTTTGCAGTGTTGGGTTCATGGTTGGACTTGGTGGTCTTAAAGATCACTTCCACCCATAATGATTCTGTGATGCTGTGACGTGGGCTTGAGCACGGTCCTGCTGGTGGTGGTAAAGGAAGCTGAGGCTGCTGCAGTGAAGCCTGCTGACCACCACCACCGCCATCCCCTGTCCTCACGGAGCATCGCTTGCACCACGGCCACATGTATTTATTTATTTATTTTTAGACCATGCACAATAAACCTCACTTGGACTCAGCAACTGCCTTCGGCGCTGTAAAATTTTACAGAGGCATTGGGATGTCTCTGCTTTGAAGCCGAAACATCTAAAGATACAGGAATAATGCCCGTGATGTGATTAAGTCACTTCATTAACATAGGAAACACGTGTAATACATCGTCGGAAGACTGGAAACAGCTAACCACGGCCACAAAGCTTCTTTAGAACAAAAAGTGATATATCTTCTCTTTGGGAATTCCTTAACAGACTAAAAACTCTCAGTGTCACCGAGACGGCAGGTGGGGTCAGAAGCCCCTCCAGTGAGATGCACATAGGGCTTACAAATCAGAATCACAGGACTCCCTAGATTGGAAAAGAACCTGTGAGATCATCTCGTCCAATCGTGAACCTCACACTGACAACCCACCACTAAACCACGTCCCTGAGCACTATATCTACACGACTCTTAAATACCTTCAGGGATGGGGACTCCACCACTGCCCTGGGTAATGCATCCCAAAGATCTCATAGTCTCACGGCTTTAACAAAGAAAAACGTCTAATAAACAGCTCTACTCTTTACGGCTAATCAATGGGTTCAGACCCACATAGCTCTCCCTTTACATCGACCCCTACATGGACGGCTGTGCCACCTTCGCGCCAGACCGGCTGGAGGCCACGTACCACGAGCTGTGTGCTCGCTGCCCTCTCCCCGCAGAGCCGCGGGCACTGAGGAGAGCCACAACCACCCTGACTGGTCACCACAACCACGTTGACTGGTCACCACCACCCCTCGGGGGGCGCCCAGGCTGCCGCCCGTGCCACACCACCACCCGGGCAGCAGGACGGGCACACGGCGGCCGTTCCCAGCCCTCCCCTCCCGTGCCCGGCCCCCGCCAGCCACGCAGCCGCCACGATGGGCAGCCACAAAGCGAGCAACAAGCTCTGGCTGCCGGTGAGACGGAACCCATTTTCATCAGGCAAGGAGCGAACCGAGGCCGAAGGAAGAGCACGTACCTCCGCTCGTAGCCCGCGCACCACTGCCGTCCCCCGCAGTCCTGCTTCCAGACCTTGACGGTGCGGGTGAAGGCCCGGGCGCACGGCTGCCGCTGCCCCACCATCGCCAGCTCCCGCTCCGCGCAGACGTTGGGCCTGGCACAGAGAAACAGAGGTGTGCGGGGGTCTGCAGGCGGGGACGGGCACCGGGCGAGGAAGATCTTAAGCCATATACTGTATTTGCCTCCTCATATCATTGGAGGAGGTGGAGAGGGGCAGTGCAGGCGCAGGGAAAAGAAATCCACCACAAGCCGTTGTCAAGCGCAGCCCACCCACCTCCCCCCTCAAAACTCCCGGGTTTAATGCTCTTGGTAGCGTTAAACAGGGTGGCACTCACCTGCGTTTCTCAGCAGCACATCATTAGGCCTTCGCAGATCGGTTAAACATTGGAGAAGTACAAGGTGAACATTGCACACCCGTGTTCACAGATGGGAAATGGCCCCACGGGGAGAGGACACACCGTGTAGCCCGCGGTACGAGTGGGGGGCACCCACGGGCAGCCCGCTCCGTCCCGACCCCCCTCCTGGAACCTGCCACCCGCGGTGGGGCTGACGCAGCAACGGAACCCCAAAGCTGTGGGGGTTTATAGCACTGGGACACGGGCAGCTCCAGCGAGACTGGGAAGCTGCTGAGGTTTCCCACCTCCAGCCCCTGGGATGCCCCTTGAAAAATGCAGCGATTACTTTTCCACTGATATATTAAGGTTAATTTTTAGCCTTAAAACAGAGGATGGATCAGGAAAGAGGCAGCAGCCTACATGAGGAGGGCCACGGAGATGCTGGAGCCCCTCTGCTGGGAGGACAGGCTGGGAGAGTTGGGGGGGTTCAGCCTGGAGAAGAGAAGGCGAAAAAGGGGAGACCTCAGAGCCCCTTCCAGTGCCTAAAGGGGCTCCAGGAGAGCTGGGGGGGACTTTTTCCAAGGGCATGGAGTGATAGGATGAGAGGGAATGGCTTCAAACTGAAAGGGGAGATTTAGATGAGATTTTAGGAGGAAATTCTTTGCTGTGCGGGCGGTGAGCCCCTGGGGCAGGTTGCCCCGAGAAGCTGTGGCTGCCCCATCCCTGGAGGCGTTCAAGGCCAGGTTGGACGGGGCTTGGAGCAACCTGGGCTGGGGGGAGGTGTCCCTGCCCAGGGCAGGGGGTGGCACTGGGTGGTCTTCAAGGTCCCTTCCAACCCAAACCATTCTATGGGTCTATGATTCTATTATATGGTAGCACAATAATTGCTATGTTTGTCCATTCTGTCCACTCTCAGTTAACGAGGAATACATACGCTTTCTTGCAGGATTATTTTCCTGACTATTGTCCCCACAAACATCAATGATATCTGCGTCTTCTGACAGTGTCTGGGGAAAAAAATTATTCTGCCACTAGCAACAATACATCGTTAGATTAATTCTGCCTTAAATCAGAATTCAGTTTGCTATCTTAGATGTTTTCTCACTCATTCAGGGCTAAAGGCTAAGACTAATTCCAGTAAATAATGTGAGTATATATAATTCAGTGAGAAAGAAAATCAGAAAAATACCATTTACACTTTATTTCTTTTCTAATCTTAACTCTCTCTCACCAAATGTGAGTCAGTAGTTTTAACGAAGTTTGAAGAGGGAAACGTTTGTCCCTGACTTAGTAAGTTATGAGCCGTTCATTATTTGGGACTGCTTCTGTTGCCTCTGATTCTTCAAAAGGGACCGAGAGCTTCCACAGAAATACTTTATATAAAAGAAGTTAAACTAAACAATGTGGCGGTGGTGAAGCATAGAGATTGCAGCTGGCATCTGAGTGCTGCAAGAGGCTCCGTGACGGCGCTGTTACAGCAAGCCTGGCGATGCTTCGGGGATTCCTGGCATGTTTCCTTCCCCCTCCACCCCAGCCTTGCTCTCAGACCTCCTCTCCTCGCCCCCACATGTGGCCACCGCCGAGCGGTTTGGCTCGCAAAGCTCTGTGCACATCCCGTCACCGCTACAGCACTCCCCAGCGCTAACGGTGACGGCCAGAGGAGCCGGTTGGGTGTCCCCATGGACAGGGAGCTCCCGGGTGATGCAGGGCAGCATCTCCCTGCCCACGGACCGCTCTGCAGCCGCCTCACCCTGCGCATCCGAAAAACGGACTGAGAGGAACCACAGGAACAAGGCTGGCAGCAGCACCGCTTCGGTGTTATTTATCGCAGCCAAGAAAGGTTCTTGTGTGCCCCAAACAGTGGCTGTGTGTGTACCGGGCAGCGTCAGCGATGCCCCCGGGGACGGGACAGCACTTCCCAGGCGCTGGCGTTTTGTTTCCTCTGGCGCTTTGGCACACATCTCGTCCCTCGTGTCTCATCCAAGAAGTCCTAAAAGTGCTTGTCAAGGCAGGAGCACAAAACCTCTGACACAGGGAGAAAAGGCATCTTCTTGCAAAACCTTTATCTGCTGAAAAGGATCCCTTTTCAACCGCCAAGTTAAAGACATCGGGGAGAGCAGCGTGGAGTTAGCACACCATGCAACACTGGGTTCATTTACAAAAAGAATTAGAGCAATCCCCCTGCATCGAGAGATCATCTTCTGGCAGGAGACCAAATTTGCAAGGAAGTTTTCCAAAGAAGCCAAATAATTAACACCAAACTGTAACTGTAAAATCTAATTAAAAAGAACGGACTACGTGCTGCTAGAGTAACAGCAAAAGGGGGGAAGAAAAATGCAGAAAGAAAGAGATACATGAAGTGCAATAAAAATAGCAGGTCTGTGAAGAAAGGTCAAACTATTTACACAACAGTCACCTCTTGTGCTGACACAATAGCAACATTTGAGTTTAAAACAGTGAGTTTCCTACACGCAAAGACTATCCAGATTTTCACATTTCTATTCACCTTTATGTACATCTGGTACCAGATGAAGAAACGCAGACCAGCCCTCCCTCCCCTCCGCTCTCTCTGCCCCTCCATTCACCCTGGATTTGAAAATACTGGTTTTAGCTTCTGCTGTACAGTTCCCTGCCCTATAAAAACACTCCCGTTCTCTTTCCTTGCTACTTACATATGGGGCTGAAGCTTGTTCCCAGAAGCAAGAGAAGATATTCGCAGTGCCAGGATGAACGGCAGTGCCAGCGCGCGGAACTCCATCGCCACAGCTCCTCTCCCGCCGGGCGCTGCCAGCGGGTGCCCGGGGAATCCCACCGCCTCCTCCGGCACAGTCCTCGTCCTCGAAGGAGGATGCTCCTGGCTGCCTCCGTTCCCGACTTGCCAGAGTCTCTCTTTCTGGCGAGGGATGATGCTTTCGGAGCACACAGGAATTCTTGCACGGGGGGAGCAGCGTTATCACTCCTGGACGCTTCCTCCCATCTGGGTTCAGTTCAGCAAGTTTCTTCCGAGCATGGGAAATGATTATCCTGCAGATTGTCACCGGATTTTTCCCAAAACCAAACCTGGCTTCTTACGCTTGTTTGCTCGTAGTGAAATGCACCGAAGTGACTTTTCCTTCTGGCATTTGCTCCTTGACAAAGCCCACAGACCCGGTGGCTCACAAGACCTGGGTTCCGTCCAGCAATGAAGCCCCGCGGGGGTTTCGCCGATTTGGAGTCGCCGTCCGCTTCTCACGGCAATATAAAACCCATCACTCGGCGCGGGACGGGAGAAAAGAGGGGCGCTCCCCCGCACCCCGAGACGTCGACCTCCCAGGGGGCTCTTCCCAAAGCAGGCGGAGAGCTGCTCTACCCCATCCGCAGCGCCGCAGCCGTCCTCCTGCCGCAGCCCCGCACTTTCCTCCGCAGACGGGGCCAACCGCCCCCCGCGCACACCGCCCCGCCGAGAGCAGCTTCCCCGCGCTTCCAGGGAGTAACAAAACTTTCCTCTTGCCTTTCCCAGGGCCGGCTCCTTTCCCTCACATGCTCCCTTGTTTCTTTCCTCGCTGACAGGCAGAAATCCCTCCCACCGGCTGGGTCCGGCCCCGCGGCGAGGAGGGGGAGACCCTGCGGAACAGGAGCGGGAATGAGTCGGGTTTGTTTCTCAGACGGCTCTTCTGCACTGTACGCACCACCCGCGACTCCTCTCCCAGTAGCTCTACAAATGTCCCCCAGAGATTCTGTCTTCACTGCGCGCTCCAACAGATACCAAAACCGATGGCTTCCCCAGGGAATTCTGCTGCGCGCATGAAACGGGCAGGGACAGACCCGACCCGCGCTCGGCTGCTCTTCACAACCCGTTCCAGGGGCAGTGGGGGAATACACCGGCAAAGACGGAGCTGGGGAAGAAGGTTGTGCTTTTACCTGCCTTTTCCCACCCGCCTCCCCACCGTGTAGGGCAGCAGCACAAAGAGGAGCGGGTAGGGGTTTTGCTGAGGGGGGGGCGACAGCCTGTCAGCCTCTGTGAAATGAGAAAAGGGAGAGAGAAGTACCCGGGTATACTTCTGAGATGGTTCACTGCTGAGTTCCCTCTCGCAAAGAAACTGCCGCAGGTATCCGCCGTCGTTGCTGCCAGCGAGGGTGAGGACGGAGGGGATTGCAGAGCGCTGAGCTGCCTCCACGGACGGGCGCGCAGCAGCGGACACAGGCGGACAGGGAAGCAGAAGGCGGAGCGGGGATGCTGCACTAAAACTCTGCTGCCTCAAGAACCTGCTGGGAAACGCTCCCCGGGGGCAAGGAGGAACCAAAGCAGCAGCCGGGCACTGCTCTGCTGCCCTGGGGCGGCCCGCGGCAGAGCGAGCTCTGGCAGCAACAGGGCGTAAGGAGGGGGCTCGGATGGAAACCGAAAATGTGGACGACTTACAAGTGGGAGTTGTTCTTCAGAGTGTTGCAATCAGCCTCACAAGAGTCCACATTCTGCCTGTGGAAATCAGAGAGGGGAGAAGCTGCGTGCATTCAAATTGTGCTTTGAGCAGTGCAGAAGAGGACAGGACCTGCAGCATCCCATCCCCACCTGGTATTTCATTGCCTCAGCCAGAACAGGGAAGGGATCTTCACCTGCTGGGTGCTGAGCACACACACCCCCCTACACCCCCACCCATTCCTGTTCCCATGGAGCTTAGAGAAAAGGAAAAGCAAAGAAAGAGCGGACTGCCTGCGTTCAGTGCACGGAACGACTGGCTGTGCTGAAACACACCTAGTCTTTACTCGGAGGAGGGAATAAGAGGCAGGATCATTTAAAGCAAGCAGTTGGCTTAAAACGACGACAGAACTCAGATCTTTCAGTGCTTCCCTGGAAAAGCCATGCAACTTCCTGGCCGGAATCCCAGAGAGCCAAGTCCGCGGCTCCCGGTGCCCTGCGGGGAGCGCAGCGTGCCGTGCCCCCTTCCACCTCCTCCACGGGGAGTGGGGCACAGCAAGCAGAAAACCAGAAGAGCAAACCGGCACACTCGCCCAAGAGGGCAGAGAGAATCTAAATTCTGTCAAACACACAGAGAGAAGATAGTTAAAATAATATGTTTTAAGGAGTCTAGAACACTTTATTAATACTGATTTCTGTGAGAGAAGTAGGATGAGAATGTTTGGGTAGTTTCAGTGCACGTCATGCACGTATTTCACCACTGAAAGACAGCCATTGCATCAAGACTAAAGTCACTACGAGCCACGGCCCGAAGGTGGTACTTCTAGAAGAAAGCAAGGCAGCGGCTTTTTACACCTTACCCCGTCCAAAGCCACAGCAGTCGCATAGATGGCTCAGGTCAGGCCAAGGCGCAGGCAGGAGGGGCTAACGCCTCCCCTTGGAAGGATCTGCCAAGCCTAACGGGGGGCAGACGGCATCTTTCACTGGTCCTGGGGAAGAGAGGCACCTACATAAAGATGCTTTATCACGATGGAGAGGGCTCTGGGATAGTATAGGTTCAGGCCTCCATTTTCCTGTCAGGACTTAAAAAAGTTAATACTTTTCTTACAGTAGGAAACCATAAGACGGGTCCCAGTTAGCCTTTCAGTGCTGCCTCACTGCCGCAGCCCAAAGCGTGCTTTCCCCTCCGCTGACCCTCTGTTTGGGCCCAGCTTTGGCAAACACAGCGCTGGGTACGCGGAACCTGACCTTACGCCGCATCCAGGTGAAACTTCGGGGTATGGTTGGGCACCAGTGTGTCCCAGTCCCTTGGAGCGCCCGCTGGCAGGGCGGCAGGCAGGGAAGGGGAGCAGGCAGGCAGCGGCAGAGCCTGGACTGTGGCTCCCTCTCCAGGAGCACGGGGCGAGAACTCACCCGGCGTGAAGCCAACGCCGCAAGGCTTCGGCAAGTCACCCTACAGCGAGCAACGAGGCTTCCCACCTAAACCAGCTCCTGGGAGCAGGGGCTGCAGAGGGTGCAGCAGAGGAAGATGGATATCTGAAATCCAGCGCTGTCTGTGAAGTCAATTTAATATGTTTTCAATCTTGTAGCATTTCCCAGCACGACCGCCTGCCGAAGATGTCATCCTCTGGCTCAGGGTAAGACAGCCCTGGAAAGTGGTCAAAGATACCATACGGTTCCACGAATAGCGATGATGATATCTGCAATAATGCCAGAGGCCACAGAAACACAAATAATAATTTGCCATTCATTCCCCAGCATCATTTAATCTTTGCTATCGAGTGTGCTGAACATGGCACGGGCTGTATGGCTCTCAACTCACAGTTTAATAGAACGATAGATAAAGACAGTTTAATAGAACAACATCAGAAAAGGAAAACAACAATAACGATAATAACAACAACAACAACAGTAAAAGAATATACAAGAGCAAAGTCGCTCTCACCACCCCATAAATTGGTGAATTGGCACCGCCTGAGCATTGATCGCGAGTACCCGTCCCCCGGCTCACCCCATTTATACACCGACCATGCCAGCGGTGGTACGGAGCATCCCACTGGCCATTCCGTCCTTCTCTCTGTGCCCCTCCTCAGCTGCTCTGGGAAGCTGAAAAAAGCCCATGAAAAATATCAGCGTCACCTGGTGTTATGGTCTGAGGAACCCGCAACAATTTATTGTCTTTTAGACAATTATTCTATCACCCAGTGACCTCTCCCCACTTGGGAATGGGAATCAGAAAAAATAAGGAAGCCCAAGGGTTGAAATATAAAGAGATTTAATAGAATAAGACTAAATAATTAACAATAATAACACTAAACAACCAATATTGATCCCAATACCAATATAAAATATACAAGGATCATACTCAGCCCATTCTGTCCATAGAAGCTGTGCATTCCCAGCAGGGGACAGAAACATGGGACACTGAGTGCTGCAGTTTCAGGAGGAAGGGAAGGGCTGAGGGCTCCGGCACCAGGGCAAGGAGTTCTCAGCGTCACAGCAGAGAAACTCCTCAGCAAACTTACTTTTTTGGGCAATCCCAAGCACAACCCCAGGCTGGGCAGAGAATGGATTGAGAGCAGCCCTGAGGAGAAGGACTTGGGGGTGGTGGTGGGTGAGAAGCTCCCCATGAGCGGCAATGTGCGCCGGCAGCCCAGCGAGCCCCCGGCACCCCGGGCTGCATCCCCAGCAGCGTGGCCAGCAGGGCGAGGGGGGA